TCTATGTAGAATATTCATAATAATTGTTTCTATTTTATTTTTAGTTTATATTTATTTTTTTATTTTTTATCACTTAAAGTTTGTTTAATTTTTTTTTTAAATTTCTTTATATAAGTTTTAATTTTTTTTGAGAACGTTTGTTGCGCGAAATATTTTCTATATATATATATATATATATATATATATACAGTTCTCCCCGGTTAAATGCACCACGCTTAATTGATTTTCCCCTTTTATTGAACGAAAAACTAAGGCAACTTTAAATCCCTATTAAAATATACATGAATAACATCGTTTAATTGAGTCCCGTTTAATTGAACAACTCGCTTAAATAATCTCTTTTTTTGGTATTACCTTATAAAAACTGTGAAAAATTCCCCTGTTTATTGACCTGATAACGGCATAAACATTGTACGGAAATTTTTTATCCCACAAAATAAATTTATTGAAAACTTAGATGAAATGGAAACCTTTATTATTAAGAATCATTACAAACATAACCAAACGAAAATTACAAATTTTTTTAAATAGGTTTAATTTTTTATTATTCTATTTGTTGTTGTTAAACTAGCAATAGTAAATTTATTGAAAAATTAGATATAACGTATGAAATATTTTGTTTTCTTTGTAATATGAAATATTTATTTTTAATTTTTGTTATGTTATGTGATATAAAAATATTATGATTTAAATATTTTGAATTTGAATTCATAGTTACATTACTTAGATGGATTTAAAATAAAGAAAAATTTAAGTTTTTAAATTTTGAAATAAAAAAAAATTTGAGTTTTAGTATTTCATTAGTGTATCCCCTATTTTAAATATAGCTTTTTACCTAGGATATTTTGATAAGTATATGTAATAGGATATGCTTCCTATTGTTTTTACTAATTTTATGCAGTAGCAGGATCAAATTCGTTTTTGCGCCTGATCTTCAATAGCGAGTATTCGTTTTCATGCGTAAACGATTCAGTTAAAAAAATTCGTTTTATTGCACCAATTGTTCAATTAAACGGGATTTTTTTAATTGATTTACCCGCTTAATTGATACAAAAAGTGTGCAACTTTTCTCGGTTCAATTAACCGGGGAGAACTGTATATATATATATATATAATATATATATAGATTTTAGTCCAAGGTTTTGATAACACCATAATAGAATGAAAATTTCTTTTTATTATCAACTAAATTTGTATGTATAGTAAATTTAAAATAATTCCAAATTTATTAAAATTTTCAATTCTATTATAAGTACTCAAAATTTAAAGAGCAATTAAATATAAAAAATCACGAATTAATTTAATTTAATTTTAACTTAATTAATTGCTATTTCATGTTTTGAATTAATTTTGGGTATATAAGAAAAAGTGTTGAGAAATTTTTTAATTATGATTGGATTAATAATTTTTTTAATGAAATTTTGTTGGTAGAAACTTAAACTGGTAGAAAGAGCCCAACTAATAGCCGAATTGTAAATTGATTAAAATATATTATAAAATTTTCATATGAACTTTCAGCTCATTTTAATTTGTATCATCCCAAACATCCCTATGTAAATTCTATAGCTTTCGTAAACTTTTACAATCTTATTTAATTTTGGAATCTTTGAATATATAAAGAATTATTTTCAAATAACTATACTCACTTGAATTAATTAAAATAGAAGGTATCCTTGTTGTATTATAACCTAATATAAAGGTAATCTTAATCTTGTTTATAAGTTTTTAATTTAAAACATGCCTTTAAATCGGAAACTTATGCATAATAGTAAAAGAAGTACAAATTAGTAAAAAAACAAAAGAAGGACATTTTAACATAAAAGATGTCACCATGAATTTTATACGTGTTTACATCTACGAGTAATATCTAATTTGTATCATTGTACAAGTCAATCATTTTTTATACATGTTCTTACTTAGCTAACAGCCAATTTTATTTTACAATCAGTATAATCGAACAAAAAATTTATTTCAAATTAAAATGTGCATTATAATTTAAAAAAAGACTTATTGGTATTGACCAATAAGTCAAAAGCTCTAACATTAAAGTAAAAGCAGATTGAACTAAATACTACTGTAATAATGCACAATTCAGCAATTTAGAATTCATTAGTAAATTAAATTATGTAACATTACGATATTTTTGTCATTTAAATTTGAATAATATCATGGAATACGATATTAATTCGCATTTCAGAACAAATGAGTTAAAAGAGCTTGATTGTGTACCGAATTACTGTAATTTTGAGGCAGGAATATTATTTTTTCTAAATTATATTATAATATATTTAATATTAATATTCTATATTTCTTCCTATTTAATAATATAATCCTGGAGCCTTACTATATACTTACCCATTTTTGCAAATACAAAAATCTATTCTCGAAAATTCAATTACATAGTGAGGCCTTTTTAATACATAATTAATTATGAGAATTTTTCACTAATGCCCTTGGTAAATTTACAAAAAGAAATAAGTGTATGCTTGTATATATACATATTTAAAATTTTTTAATTTAAATATAAGAATAAATTACAAAATTAAAATTCTATTGGTTTTATTTTTCATAAACCAAACAAAAAAACAAAATAAAATAATCTTTCTGAACCTTAGTTTTCAAGGCAAACAATATTATAATATGAAAATTTTTTCATAACATACTTATAGGCGGCATAATAATTCTTGTAATTATAAAATTTTACATGCACATTATTTCATTTATGTTAAATGTATAAAATTGTAATCTGTTACATTTTATATGTATGTATATGGTTTTATTTATTTCTTTTAATATGGCAATAATTAAAAAATAGTTTGTTGAAATAATGAAACAATAAACATGTTCAAATTCACTGAATAAAAAAAAAAAAAAAGTTAAAAATGCTATGAAATGTTTTTTTTATTTTGGTTTCATGATTTCTCTATGTTGTAAAAAACCAAAACTATTTAAAGTTAGTTTTATAATCGGCTACAATTTTTTTTTTTTTAAATAAAATATGTTCCATCTATACTCACTCCATCTATTGTACATAAATATAAATAATTTATCTTTGTACATTAATTTATATATTATTTTTTTTTTTATAGTAAACATAATTTTTTCCATTTTATGCATTATGATTCTTTTTATATATATATATTTTTTTTATTTTTTTAATAACAGCGAACAATAAGTTTATTTATTTTTTTTTTTTGAACATAAATCTCATAGTTAATATTTTTATGCACAAAATTTGATGTAAAAGATATGAGAGAAATATATTTTCGTTCATAATATCAACATGCTTTGTCTATCAACATGGTTGGAATGTTTTATGTTTTTATAGAAAAATTTGAACATATTACGATTCTTAAATAAAATCTTAGATATTTTTGGTCTCATATGACTTGGAGTGTTTAACATACAAATCATTTGAGTGTATTCTAAACTTTATTGGAAAATCAGAATACTGATCAAACGAATAATTATGGATGTTTTCGTTTTTTTGCTCAGAACATGAATTTCATCAGATTCAGAGTTGTTAGACGACGGTTTTTAAAAAATTTTGTAATATTAGAACTCTAATTTAATAACCGAAACACGATAGAGCTTATATTCTGTTACATATTTAATAATTTCCAAATTTCAAAGTGTCGAAATAATATAATATGAATTCTGTATAATCTGAAAATCTTTTTTGAGCGTGCAGAACGTTATCTAAACATGTTTTGATTCCCTGAAGTAAAAAACGAGCACAGATTTATTTTTTGACAGATCTGAATTTGTTCTAGGGTGTAAAAACCGATAATGCCCTTCGACAAAACCATAACAATTTCTGAATTTAAGTTTGGATAAAAATATAAAATTTATATAATGTACTTATTGTTGATATTACATTGTTTATTTGATTTGTATATGATTAATTTTCAAATTTAAAATAACAAAAGATTTAACATTAATAGAAACCACGTTTTTTAAAGTTTTTATCAAAAGATGAAAACACAGAATTCCATTGAGGAAGAGCCAATTTTTTTCTTATTTATTTTTTTTTTTCGGAAAATAGGTTATTATTACAAGGACTCGAAATTTAATATTTATGTAGGTACATATACCTACATATGTATATATGTATGTATCTACATTTACTTGTATAAAATAAATAATGTAAGAAATAATATTTGTTTTAATGGAAATATTATTGGTTTTGTGTAACCGAAGAAAAAAAGAGGAAAAATGATTTTGATCTAATTTTTATCTGGACTTTTGATAAATTTAAATTGTTAGGAGAAAGAATTACTTTAAAAACTTTACCAAAATTATTTTTAATACTAAGTTATACAAATTTTGTTAGTTTAAATTTAAGTAATAAATAAATATTTAATTTATAAAAGTCTTCTGTCAATAACTGTTCTCCATATTCACAAATTCAGAAATAAGCAATCGTAAGCTTATATATGCCATATGGCACAATAATTGTCTTCGACTAACTCCAATTGGTTAAAGTTATCCACAATTTGTCAATTTTTATAAAACACAAGAACTTATTTATTATGCATGCGACAACTTGAGTTCTTTAGCAAAGTAAATTTAATTTTGATGTAATTAAAAAAGGTAAATAACTAAATTTTACAATTCAAACTTTTTTAACGTAAAAAAAAATTGCGGACGCTCCTAAAATACCAAAATATTTTTGACATTTTTAAAAATATCTGAAAATTCACTTAAATTTACATAAAAGCTGAATGTAAAAAAAGTAAACCGCTTTGTAATAAAACAATATTAAAGCGAAAAGAAAGAAATGCAAATTGAAATGCTTTAATATTTTAAAATACTAAAAGCATTTCAAAATTTAAAATTTTCATTATATTGACATAATTTTAACATTTTTATTCTACTTTCTTTACAAACCCCTGCGTAGTATTTTGTGTTTTATATTTTGACAGCTGTTGCTTCGTTCTGTGGAACATAGTTTCTAGACAATTAATAATAATGTCAAGTCAGCTGAAATGTTGTGGGAACGACAGCATTTATGAGGTGTTCTGCAAAATTAAACAGTGAAAAATATTTTGTTGGGAAAAATAAATAAATTAAAAAAATTAAATTTAGTTTTTGAACATTTTATCAATAATTTTCATTAGATGAGACACCGAAAATATAAAGGTTATTATTAATTTAAAAATATTTGAGGATTTTATGAAGAAAAAATAAGAATATTTTATTCAACTAGTTCCATGTGTAGATTATAACGGGAATTGTAAATTTTTCTTAAGATTAAGATCAAATTTCATTTTAGATGCTGGAATGTGCTGATTTAGCATATAAGTAAGTTTTGAAAAAATTTATAAAATTGTTTTTTGTTTGCTTTTAGATCGACTCGAATAAAATAAGAAACAATTGAAACTCCTACACCAACAACGTCGAGCAAAAATAATGCAAACTACGCGTATTCATATTACTTGTGTGACCACAATAGGTAATTGCTTATATACATATGTATATCAAAAATACTGTTTAATGTTGCAATTTTTTTTATTTAAGGTGGTTATTTGAGAATTTACGGCCAACAAAATATTGAAAATGTTACTATTATACAAAAAAATATTGATTGCTTAGTAAGAGCCCCAATGATTCAAACATCAATTCCAATTATGGAAGTTGCCCAAATTGGCAATTTTTGTCTTGCTTTGAAGGGTGACAGATTTGTTAGAGCTAGAATAGTTAGTAAATTTCCAAGTACAGGGCGTGTCAATGTTCATTATATGGATTATGGGTTTGATAATATACTTGATATAACTAATGTAAGATTTTGAAAATATTTATAGATAACTTACATTTTTAATAAAAAAATAATTTGTAGATCCGTATGTCTAAATTTCCTAAAGAACTTGAGTTAATGCCTGTCCAGTCGTTACCATTTATATTAAGCGGCATAAAAAATTCATGGGAACCGTATCAAATTCAAGAAATTAATGATGAGTTGTTGTATCAAACTGTTGATTTTACTGTTGAAGGAAGGGTACGTAAAAAATTATTTTAATATTTTTTTATAGTAACATTTTGAAATATAATTTTAGATTGGCGATGAGATTTTCATTCAAATAAGATGGAAAAACAAATCTTTAAATCATTTTATATTAGAACGCAAAGGCTATGGAGAGCTAGTGACTTTCGAATATATTAAAAAAGATTTTGCTCTTAATACACGAGTCGCTAAAAACCCAATAAATACGTACATAAAAGGTTTATCAAAAAATATAAGACCAGCGAGACAACCACATTATAGAAATGGTTATGATGGGATGAAACCAGGTATAGTCGATATACCATTATTTCGATCTATGGTCCAAGGTAAGTGATTAAAGATGATATCAAAATGCATCTCGCTCACTATCAATAGCTAACCTGCTTACTCCATTGCTAACGTTCTTTTAAGGAATTCACAATGAAAACTTCAAACTTCCATACACAGGTCCACCAATACGGGCTCATTTTATTAGACCTCAAATTCCAAGTCAACCATATCAAAAAACGGGAATTCCCACATTTAAAATTACTACCCTGCTTGTTGGAACAACATATGAAGTAGTTATTAGTAATGTACAGAACGGACCATGCTCCTTTTCAGTGCAGTTACATGAAAACCAGAAAGATTTATTTAAAATGATGAATGAAATAAGTTCTTATCAGTTACGTAGGCTATCAGAGCCTGCAAAAATTGGTATGGCTTGTATAGCAAGATGTCCCAGAATTGGCTTGCAATATTATCGCGCAGTTATAATGAATGTTGATTTAACATCATGTAAAATTTTATTTGTTGATTTTGGAAACACAGAAAATATTCCTTTCTGTGATTTATTTGATGTTCCCATACCATTACTTGACATTAAATGTTTTTCGTTTCGCTTCGCACTGTCTGGTTATAAGGAATTGGAACCAGTTAATGAAAGTCTGAAAGAATTATTTAAGAAAAATGTTTTGAACAAAGTTTTAAAATTGAAGGTAACACCTTTAGAGGGACCACCTCTTGTACAATATTGTGAACTTTATTATGAAAATAGAAATATTTTCAATATATTAAAAGACTTTCAAAACAGAAAAATAACATACACTAAGCCTGAAGCACTGGAACAAGATGAAATCGTAAATGTTTGTTATATTGATTCTCCAAAATCGTTTTATGTTCATAAGAAAACAAAACAAAATGCTTTTGAAAAAATGATGGATGAGTTAGATTTCTACTGTAACAAATATAGTTGTGTTCCTAAAAAACTTATTAAAGGCACTCCATGTGCTTTTAAATACGAAAATGCTTGGTACAGAGCTGAAATTATAAAGGCAGAAAATAATGACAGAGTTTATATACGTCAAGTTGATTTTGGAGTTGAACGTCATACAAAAATTTCCACATTGAATTACATAGACGAAAGATTTACATCATTCCCTCAACATGCAATTCAGTGTTGTCTAAAAGGTTTTGAGGATAACAGTTCATCTTCTATAAGCGATAGCGTTATAAATCAGTTTGAAATGCTCGCTGAAGAATCCGATGGTGGTAGAAGAAACTTTAAAGTTAAAATATTTAAAATGCTTACAAGTCATTATTATCTCTTAAACTTAGTTGATGAATCTCTGCAGCCAGAATTAAATTTAATGAAAAGACTTTTTAAATTAAATCTTCCTTTTAATAAGTACATAGGAATGGAGAAAGAATTAAACGCAAATAGCACGCCTGTTACTTCTACAGCAACTACGTCTCCTAAAAATAATAATAACAAACAAACGCAAAATCAATCTCTTCCAACTAAAGTCCAGAACAATAATTTTCTAAGTCCAAAACAAACAGAAATACCAGTAATCAATGTGGAAACCATCACCCCTACAAGTATAAATTATAATCAGGGAAATTCAGATAAAAATAGCAACAGTGGCAGTAGCAGCAGAAGCAGTAGTACAAGAGGTTTTCGCAGAGGTCAACGGAAGAATGCACCCACTCAAAAAGATACTACGCGAAATAGCAGTAGGGATTCTGCAATTACATCGTCAAGACCTGGAAGGGGAGGTCGCGGAAGAAATTTGCCCCCAAGATTTCAAAATCAACGTAATAATGACAGGTAAACCAAAATTAGAAAGAAGTTTTTGTTAGTGTCTTTAATTTAATTTAAAAACTACAAACTCTTTATAGACGCTACAATGGTGGAAATGACAGTTCTGGAAAGTTTGCATATAGCAATTCTTCAGAGGACTGGTCAAAGAGAACATCGACCCCCACTCAAAAACATAAATACGACAGTAGTGATAGTGAATTCGAAGGTTCAACGGAAGAGTTCTTACCATTTAATTTCGAACTAAAATCTGCTGATATACCTATTCCGTCCATTCAAGAAGTTGTTATTTGTTGGTGGATTTCACCACATCAATTTTTCACGCACGACTCTAAGATGACCAGCAGATTTGAAAAAATGATGCGAAAAATGCAAACTTTTTACAAAAACAGGAGTGCTATTCAAAACAAGCAAATCGAAGTTGGATCTATTGTGATTGCCAAATACAAACAGGATAATGTTTTATATCGAGCTAAGGTCTTGGCTTGTAATCCTCAAATGAAGAAATACAAAGTGGAATTTATTGATTTTGGAAATCGATCAATAGTTGAAGAAAATGACATGTGGCAAATGGAAAAGCGTTTCGCTCAAGTGCCTGTAATGGCGAACCTTTGTTCATTTGAAAATATCGTATCAAATTATGAAAATCAAAAAATAATTGATTTTATCGCCAAATATTTAAAACAGGGAATTACCTTGAATTGCCAGTACATGAAAAAAGAGAATAATACGTATTTTGTAAATATTAATCTAAAAGATGATTCACTGAAACATATACTTATTAAAGAAGGCATGGTATCAGAACTAAAAGAAGGTACTTGTTTAGTATTTTTATCAAAACAATTTTTTTTAAAATAACATTTTTTAAGGTACCAAATTACATATTTTGGCTGGGCAACAAATTAAAGCAAAAGTGTCTTCTGTTGCGGATCTTTCAAATTTTAGAATTTTAATTGAAGGCTGTGACATTGATTTAATGTGTTCTTATCATAACATTAAGCTAATTAAATCTAATCCTGGATTGTCTTCCAAATTTAAAGATAAATATGAGGGAAAATATTGCTTTTTTGATATAATTAGTGTAACTCAAGATAAAATGTAAGTTTAATCAATTACGCAATAGTATTTCAATTCTAAAACTATATAATATATACTTATTTAGTTTAATGGTGGATCCAGCAGAAAATGATTTAACAGAAAATGCTCAGCCAATTATATATGATTATCCGGTAATGTCTGATAAACTGGATGTAAAAATATCTTACGTTAGAACACCAAACAGATTATATGCTCAAACTATTTCAAATGAAGAGAAAGCTAACGAACTTTTAAATGAGATGTATGATTACTATATTACCAAAGGTAAATAATGTAAATAATTTGTGTTCTAATATTAATAGCCTCAATTTTCATTAATTACTTTTTCCAAGGGGACATACTAAAATGTATATCAAAAGGAATGATATGTGCAGCCAATTCTGAAGATGGTAATTGGTATAGAGCACAAATATCATCAATTAAGCCAAATGTTGGTGTAGGAGTTGAAGCAAGTAACAATAACGATTCCATATTCGAGGTGTATTACATTGATTATGGAAATAACGAAACAATCGACAATATTAGTAAATTAAAACGACTCGAAGAGAGATTTTCAATTTCAAGTGCCTTCGCAATGGAAATTTATTTACCATTCAAAAGTATTAAAAGTATGGACCAGGAATCTGTGATAAAACAAATTAGAGACCTAGTAGGAAATTATCAGTTAGAATTAAAAATATTGGAATCTTATGAGGGTTGCTGGATCGTGGACATCTTATCCAGTGATTATAGTTTAATGAATGTCCTTGAAGAGAAAGGATTGATCGAGAAAAAATATGATATAGATTGTGTCAAATCTTTAATTTTGAGTGATTTTGAAAATGAACTATTAAAATCAAATGATAATATTGAAGAAATATCTGTGGATAAACCAAAAATTGCTTCCAAAGAACATAAGGAAAAATTGAAAATTGAAACCAAAGATGAAGATGAAATGATTGATGAACCACCCTCTGACATACCTATGCAAACTACAGTCGAACCATCAATAAAATTACCTAATATGTATGCTGCTTACATTAGTCATTTTGAGAATCCAGGGAAATTTTATTTACAGTTAGATGCTGATTCAAAGGAGCTTGAGAAAATGCAGGGTAATTTACAAATTGTAGCTGAACAATTACCATTATTAAAAACTATATCCAAAGATGAGAAATGTGTAGCACGTTATTCAGTTGACGGTAAGGCGATTTTGTATAAATATTTTTTTCTTTTTAAAATTGAATATTTTCTATTTGAAAATTTGCAGGAATTTGGTATAGAGCTAAAGTTTTTGATAATGAGCTAATTGCTGTCCAATTTATTGACTACGGAAATATTGACGTGGTTGAGGTATCAGATATAAAACAAATGGTTGAGCCTTTTACAACAATTAAGTCGTTTGGAATACCATGCTCTTTAGCTGTGGCCCCAAAATGCGGTAGTGATTGGCCTGAGGAAGCGAATAGACTATTTAATGAAAATAGGGATAAAAAAGTTCATTTTAATTATATTCTTGAAAGTGAAAAAAAAAATTATGTAAATTTGTTCATTGATAATTCAAATGTTGCAAAAACCTTATGTTCAAAAGAACTAGTTAAACGGTTAGAGATTGTTGAATCAGGCGAATCTTGTTTCATAAGTCATATTAACGGACTAGCGGATTTCTATATTCAAATGGAAAGTTACTCTGACGGGTTGGAAGCAATTGCTAGTTATTTAACAGGCTATTCTCAATTTCCCTTAATACCAAGTAACAACGCAAGTAGTGAAAATATAATTGGAACGATATGCGCAGCTATATTCCCAGATGATAACGAATGGTATCGTGCTAAAATTTTATCAGAAACGGACAGCGGTTTTGAAGTTTTATTTATTGACTTCGGTAATACCGCTATTACAACCGAAGCACGTGTAATTTCGGATGATATTGCAAATGCTCCATATCTTTCAAAAAGATGTTGCCTTCGCATGCCAAATAACATACTTGAATGGTCTCAAAAAGCTGAAGAAAAATTCGTTGAACTAGCGGCGGGCGGAGAAACAGTCTTTGTGGTTGACTTAAAAAAACCGGGCGAAGCTGCAGTTGTAGATTTAACAATGGGTGATACAAATCTTCTAGATATTTTGCAGCCACTGTGTGAGGAAAATGTCAATGTTAAGTCTAAAACACCGGGAAATGATGTTTTAAGTTTGAGCATTATGACAATGAGTACTTTGTCAGACAGTGGTGTAATTGGTCATGAAAAGGAAAGTGTAGTTATAAGTCATGTTAATTCTCCTATTGATTTTTATGTTCAATTAAATTCTGAAGTTAATGAATTAGAAATGGTAACCGATAAGCTGTTTGATGTCAACGAACCAGTATTGGATCCCAAAGTAGGAGAAATATATGCAGCTCTATATCCAAAAGATGAAAACTATTATCGGGCTAAAATTTTATCTAAAGAGAATGATGGATACAACGTACTTTATATAGATTTCGGAAATTGTTCTATAACGAATGATTTCAAAGTTTTACCAGAAGAGCTGAAGCAAGTGACCAATTTGGCAAAACATGTCAGTTTAGCTGGAGTAGGATTTGATTTGAGCGCCGACAACGTAATTGAAAAGTTTAATGAAATATTGGAACCGTTCTTTACAGAAAATGTAGATATGATAATATTGGATAAAAAAATTGATCCATGGATTATTAAACTAAACTTGAATGGCGAAGATATTTGTGATAGGCTTAAGATAGGATTGGGGTTCGATATGATGAATAAGAGTGATCTATTTTTACAGCCTGAAATAAATGAAAAACGCAAAAATGTTATTATAAGTCACATCATATCTCTTAACGAATTTTATATTCAATTGGAAGATGAGGTCAATGAAGTTGAAAACATTACTAATAAACTACAAAATTGCAATGAAATGAAACTAGTATCAGATCTTCCCGAAATTAAGAAAATTTATGCTGGACTATTCCCAGAAGATAATAGTTATTATCGTGCAAAAGTAATTAGTGCCGATGCAACTGGAGCGGAAGTATTTTTTATAGATTTTGGAAATAGTGCCAAAACAACAGATTTAAGAATTTTGCCTGATAATTTGAAGAATATAAGAAATATGGCAACCAAATGCTGTTTGATACTTGATGACGTCGGAACTGATTATGATAAATTTAATAAACTTTTTTTAAGTTATATGGATTCTCATTTTGGTGAAATATTTCAAATAGAAATAATGAACCAGACTGATAAAGAAGATGAATGGAAGATTAAATTGTATAACAAAAACAGCAATATTTACAATGAACTTTTAAAGATGTATAAATCAAAATCATGTGAAAATATGGCTAACGTTAATTCATTTAAAAGTTGTACTGTAAGTCACATTAATAATCCAAATGATTTTTATGTTCAAATTTGTGACAATGATGCTAAATTGAATGAAATTGCTGAAAAACTTTTAGCAGCTGATCATTTTAATAAATTAGTTGACCCTAAAATCGGAGATATATGTGCAGCGAAATTTCCAGATGATGGAGCTTATTACCGAGCGAAAATATTATTGTTAGGTTAGTATCAAAAAGGCATATTAACTAAAATTGATTTGAAATAATTATAATATATTCATACAAATCAATGTTGTAGGTGCCGAAAATGGTGCAAAAGTTATATATATGGATTTTGGCAATGAAGCATTTACTGATGATTTGCGTGAATTACCTGAAAATCTTCAAAAAATTGAAGCATTAGCTAAACGTTGTGCTCTAGAAAATTTAGGCGATATTGATTTTTGGTCAAAGGAAGCACAAGATTGTTTTTCAGAAATTATTAATGAACATTTTAACGAAACATTCCAAGTTAATATTATTAAAGATAACGATAGTGAATGTACTTCATTAGAAAATTTCTCTAATGAAATAGATCCAGCGGTAGTTCAACTTGAATATCAAAGTACAGATATAGCTGGTAAATTGGTTTCAACGATTAAAGAAAAATTCAATTTAATATCAAATAAAATATCGAATACATCAAATTGGGATGAAACAACAATATCATCAAAAAATATTGATTCCGGCATTAAAACTGATTCAGATGGTAAAAGCGTCGAATCGGGAAGTGAAAATAAATTTAAAGTTGGAACAAAAAATGAATCACCAAATATTACTAAAGGTATTGTTGAAGAAATTATCGATAAATCTATGATTATAAATGAAGTTATGCAAGATATTAATACGAACCCATCAAATGTTGTGAAAGACATTGTTAACGATATTATAAATTCTTGTCCATCAGGGAAAACATCGAATGTTGTCAATGATATTGTCAATGACATTATAGATTCATGCCAAGTAGAAACAGAAAATAAAAATGCATAAAAATTCTAGTAGAGAACTAAATATACAAAAAAAAAAAAAACGAAAAAATTAAAAAGTTAAGTTTTGGCATCAAGATAAGATAATCTACTATTTATCAATTCAAATATTCAAAAAATTAATAAGAAAAAATTTTTTCTCATTCAATCCTTCACGATGCGAAAACGATATTTCCATGAAGTTCTAAAATAGAAGAGAAGTTTTTAGTTTGTTGTAAACATTTTGGAATACATTTGTGTTTTGTTAATATTTTATTTCTGTATCCCTGTGTTTTTGTATTTTATTTTTAAATCAAAAACAAGAAAAAAGAAATATTTTTTTTTTATTTTTATTTAATACAGATGAAGATGATGATAATGATGATGATTGTCATTCAAAATGTGGAAATACAACAAATGATTTAGCTGAAGTATTGTACAATGGTTTCAATGAAATATTGTCACAGGAAAATTTTTATAAAAAATAAATAAAAAGAAATGAAAGCTTTTGAAAAAATAATACGCAAAAATTAAAGTAGATAAAAAAAGTTTAATGTTGCGATTTATATTTTTAATTATTTTTTAAATATTGCAAATTTATTCGAAAATTTCAAAAAATTATAAAAAAATGTAGACAAAGAAATTTAATTCAAAAAACAGTAATTAATATGAAAGAAATGATAAAATGCCGGGAAATACTTTCAAAATTTTGATTTTAAAAGCATTTTACGATTTTAATTTTTTAATTTTAATATATTGTCCTTTTTAAATTAATTAAATATTTTTAAATATGAACAACATTTAGTTTATATGAAAAATTAAAAGGATATCATGTTTTTATATACATAAACTAATTTTTTATAATTTTAAAAAATAAATTTGCATTACTCGTCCTTTTTTTTTTTTTATTTTTACTGTGTAACAAGATAATTTTGCCAGTAAATTAAAGAAAAACCACCCAGTTTTAATAAGTTATATTCCTTAAATAGGTTGTTATTATTTTTTTTTTATCAAGAAGAAAAGGAAATGGTATTAAATTTCCTGGCACTTTTTTTTTTTTTTTATTAATACTATTAATATTTTAAATTAATATAATTACATTGTTGGAATATTTAAATCGAAAACGCAAATTAAATTTTTATTCTTTAAACTTATATATTTTTTTTAAATTAGGTTAGAGTAAAAACAAAAATTTAAATAAATTTTGATGTACTATTGAAATATTTTTAAATTCAAAAGATTTTAAAATGTGAAAATTTTAATTAAAATAAAACTTGATTTTGTTAATAAAAAATTAAAGTATTTATCACCAAAATGATTGCACAATGTAATTATATAATTTTATATGTTTTCTTTTCTATAAAATTCATCTTATACTCATTTAATTCCTATTTAATTTTTATTTTTGAATTTCATTTATTATTTAATTTTTTTGAAACAACTCATTTTAGTTGTTAAGTGTTCTCTTTATCAAAGCAATATTTTCACAATTTTCGTTCCTTTTTTCTAATTTTTTTTTTTTATTAATTCTCATATTTAAATCTCATTGAAATTAAATAGAAATTTTATATAATTTTTATGTTATTTATAAATAAAAAAAAAAATAAAAAACAAAAAAATATGAAATAAAAAAAAATCGAAAAAAAAAATCATTAAAGTGCACTGAAAACTTAATTTAATATTAAAAAAATTATATTGAAATATAAAAAAAAAACTAACTCACACCAAATATCAAATAAACATTTTCATATCATTTAAAAATAAATTAAAAAAAAAAAAATATGAAACAGAACAATAACAATAATTTAAATCAAAACTAAAATGGCCTTATTTATATTATAAAAAAAATAATTAATATTAGTATATATTTAATAATGTATCAAATACAATTTATGAAACAATTTTTATATTTAAGTTACGACGTACATTATTTTTATAAATTAATTAGATTTTAAGAAAAAAAAAAGAAATTGTTATAAACAAACAAAATATAAAAAAAAAATAAAAATAATATAATTTTTGCTAATAATATTAAAAATTTTATTGTTGTATAAAATAATAATATAACAATAAATATTTGTTTGAAAAACAAAGAAAAAACAACTGAAAATAAGAATGAAAATACCATTTTTTTTTACACTATAAATTTTAAATATTTAAAAAAATAAAAATTTAAATTAATATCGTAAAAACAATATTATACTGCAAAACAATATTAAAACTAAAAACAATTACACAATGAATAAAAAAATAAATACACACTGAATTAATTTGAAATAATTTAAAAAATAAAACAAAAAAAAAAAAAAACTTTATATAATTATTTATCTTAAATGCCTTTATAATAATTTAAATTATTGAAATTGAATTATAACTTACTTTTGTTTATATATAAAAAAAAAAATATACTTAAAGTATATAAAAATTAAAAACGAAAAACAAACAAAAATTATATAAAAATAATAAAAATAAAAAAAATATATATATGAATTAAAAAATCAATAAAATTATTTTATTCTCTCTTTTAAAAATTATTGTTTTTTTTTATTCCATTACGAGTATTATAATTTTTAATTAAAATTCTCCAATTGTTGAATATTAATAGTCGGAATTAGGTTTTAAATTATTTCCAATCAAGATAATTTTTTGAATTTATCACAATTTGAAATATAAAAACAATTTTTGGTCGGGCTTTTTTGATAAGTCCAGTATTGTCTTTAAATATTTAATTTAGCATTAAAATTTGTTGAAAATACAAATTGTTAAAATAGTTTCATTATTATGGTGAATGTTTTGATTTCTAATTACTATTGTGAATTTAATTAATACAATTTAATTACTAAAATAATTTTGTAACCTCAATGGCAACACCAATTCATAATTATTTGCCATTGTAATTTTTCACTTATATGTATGTATATCATATCCAAATAAAAGGTAGTTCATTTCCGATTGTATATAACAAAATTAAACTAAAAACTTTAAAAAATTGAAAAATTTCAAAATTACTTATTTCTTAATTTCAGTGTAAAGGCTGTGATTTTCAATCAAAACTGAAAAATAATTTTTTACATTTGCAAATATTGGCAGTTTGTGCTGTATTCAGTTATTAAATGGATGAAACTTTAATATTAATTTGTAACAAAAATTTAATAATCAAAAATAAGAATCTGCTGCAAAAATTATGTCAAATGTGAATCTAGCCGATAATGAGGCAATACAAAGAACATGACACATATTCTATATTTATTTTGAAATAATTTAAGGACGAACTGAATCGTATAAATTATTATGAAGAAATTTCTTGGAAAATAAATTTTGGACATGGGTTAACATAATCATTATGACATTATGTTTTTGCAACACCTTTGAAATAATTTTAATTATATTTTGGACCAGTTGGTAATATTTCATTTAAAATTTCAAAACTCTTTTTCAATTTATTAAAAAAAAAAGAAAAATTTAAATTGAATTTTTCTTTGAAAACTCTTCAATAATTACTTTTTTGAAGATGTGATCATTGTGAACTAATAGCAGATAATTACTTAGTCATTTTCAATCTACATGATATACAAATTTAATGAAACGATAAAAACTTGGCAATAAAGAAAAAACAATTAATTCAATTAAAACTGCAATACCAACATTTGAATATACATATACATAAATCTCATAATTTAATATAAATTTTTATTTCTTATTCTCATAGTAAATAATTTTAAATATATCATAAATTTTTTTGTAATATAATGTACGTATGTGCGTACTTATATCTTAAAATTTATATTGGCACCATATAGAATTTTAAAAATTAATATAATATAGATCAGAAAATTATTATTATAAAAATGAATTCCAATTTATAAAATTCAATTATTCTTTATAAATTATTTGATGGCCCTTAGCCAAAAGATGGAAAAAAACAAAAAAAGATGGAAGAATAAAATTAAAATACATACATATATTACATTTATGAGCGTAATAAATTCTATATAATGTCAAGAACAATTGATTTTCAACAATATTCCAATTAATAAATTAAATTAACCCCGGACCACAAAGACATATAATTATTATTATGAATCTGAGTTATGGCTATTAAATGAATAAGATGAAAACGATAGATGAGTACATATGTGCACATACATATATAAAAGATGGATGATACAAAATTTTTATTATCAACTTACATAATATAATTTAAGTTAATTTTTTTTGACCATCATGAAATTTAATAGGCATTCTTTAATTTATGTTGCATGAAAGAAAATGTACATATTTTTTGTTTTCTCAATTATTTGTTTTATCTTGTAAATTATTTGTTAAAAGGGTTCAGATTTGAATAGTATCAAATATAAAGGAATGGACTTTGAATATTATTTTCCTATTTTTTAAATATTTAATGCCTTGAATTTTTAAAGTTTGTATTCCTTTAGAAATCTAACATTGCAATCAAGAATATTTTTTTTTTTTAAATTGAAGGCTATTGGTGTATTTTGCAATCATGAATCCGTTCGTTGCCATCAATATTACATTTGTTTTGTTGATGAATTTTCTTGTTGATTTTGTTGATTTTTGAATGTCTTTGCACCTAGTAAATTTATAGCACTTCTAACATTGATTCACGCTAAGGTAATCTTCATTAGTGATTAAAGTAATCTTCATATACTTACGTGCCATAGGACATGTAGAATCTGTAGCATAACACTTTCCATAGAACAAATAACATGTAAAATATTCATTTTGCAATTGTAAACGGTTCTTAGGTTTATTAATTAATATTCGCGCGACCTTAATTATCCTTGTTACTAGGTACTCTTGTCTTGATTTTGTAAAATATGTTGTTTGTAGCATTCTATGTTATAAACCAATTGTATTTGTTATACATTAAGTGTACATATTAAAACACTAGTTAGAATGTAAATATTCTATCTTTTGTAAAATTTCTCTTGATTTTATTTATAGATAAGTTTATTTTCATATCAGAGCAATATCTTTATCAATAAAAAAATTTAACAAAATTGAATTTTTATTTTTCACTTAAAAGAAATAGAAAAACAAATTTAAATGAAAAATTCAATAATTGAGATTGAGATGAACTTTAGAATCATATAACTGAAAAAGATAAACAATCAAAACTGAATTGGTATAATAAAAATCAAATTAACAATAAATAAAATTATTGTGAAAAATTTAGATAAAAACGTTTTCTGAATGAATACCTTACATTTCTTCTTTCCTACCTAAAACAATATCTTAACACACATATATTTTGTTATATATCTATATACATATATGTATAAATATTTTCATACTTCACATTGACTGGGGCTGATTATTGTTATTTTCCCTTTGTATTGTTATTATGCTAATATCATCATAAACATAACAAATTAAAATAAAAAGAACAATAATCCTTGGGAAGTATTTAAGATTTACTAAAGATAGAGATTTCTCATATGCACTTACAAATAATTTTAGTATGTAGAAATATTTAATATATGCATATATTTGTGTATTACGTTATGTACATAAATAAATACTGATTTTGTCTTGTTATTACAGTTCAGTTACAGGATTATGTAATATATATGTATAATATGTAAATACATACATAATATGCAAGTACGTAATGTTAAAAATTTGTTAAGATTGTTAACATTTTGTATACATATATTAAAATAATTTACATAAATATTTTATGTTTAAAAAAGACATTTTGATATGTTAAAAGGGGTTGTTACCAAAAAAAATTATTAGATTTGATTGACATTTTAAATGTTTTACAAATTGTCCATAGATTTGTATATTATAATATTTATGTGAGTGGCATGTATATGTAAGTATCTACAAGGTGTTGTAAAAATTATTTAACATTTATTTTTGAAGATTTTTGTTGTTTATCGTTTAGCATTAAATATAATTTTTTTCATAATAACATTGAAGGGGTATTTACTTAATAATTGGAAATCTTAAGAGAAACTGCAGTACAGTGTAAATCTTAAGAGGAACTGCAGTACCGTGTTTTTGAAATTTTTGGCATCAGCGGAAATGTGTGTTTTCGAAATTGTACGAATAAAAATGTAGAGCTTTTAAAGATTTGCAATTCTAACTTTCAGAATTGCATTTTCAAAAACATTCAATTCACTAAATCCCTGACTTTAAGTGTTAAAATTCCAAAATATTTTTAAATTTACGATAATTTACATTAACTTATTTACGAGAATACTTTGAATTTACATTATCACATAACATTAAATTTTTCAACTCAAACAATATGAAATTTTCGGCAAAGGATAGTGTAAAAATTATTTATAATAAGCCATTACCAATGTTTCAGCAGTTTTTAATTATCTTTAAAAATAATTTATTTACTTATATTAAAATTATTTTCAATTTTAATGCTAAATTTTTCATTAAAAATTTTCTCAAATTTTTAGAAATATTTTTTTGATCCACTCTGTTATTATTCAAAATATATAAATTTATGGGACAAATGTATAAGAATTAGTTATTTAATTGTAAAGAATGCATTTTTTACGCCTACTATCAATATTTTTTTGTTGTAAATTTGTTTTTCTTAAATTTGAAATTGTAATTTCATTTTTTATAGTTTATTTATTTTTTTTTACAATTGTTTTCTTTATTACCTTAATGTAACTAATAATATGCATTATCGGTATAAATTACCTGTATATAATTTTAAAAAAGTAGAAAATTGCATAATTTATTAAAGATAAGAAAAAGGATAACCTTCTTGTTAGATTAAAATATTTGTATTTCTCAATATTAAGATAAAATATAAAAATTTATAATTGTAGATGTCTAAAAGAATTTTTAATTTTATTTTTTTTGTAGCTGTTTCTGTTAAGAATTTTAATTGTAAAAATTATGACGATTACTAATGCAGGAATATATTACTAGAGCAAAGAATATATAGCCCCAGATAAAGAATAGATACAAGTCTAACAGCAATATGCCAAATACGATAAATTGTTGTTAGGAGCAAAAATTAATTTCAGAATTAATTAACCCTGCCAGAAGTTTTAAATTACAAATAATCAAATTAAATTTGATTAATTACGATAATTAAAAAAAAATATTACTCTATTTTTTTAATTAAAGTGTTATTTAAGAAAGCACTTCTTATATGAGCATTTATTTTAAAATTCTCTTTTGTTAAAACCTAAAAAATACTACACATCACAAACAAAATATAAAATATAGAAAATTGTAAATATTCTTTTTTTCAAAATTAACATTTATTCCCATCATAAAATAACTATTTTTTGTTTTATTTTTTTTTTCTTTAATATAATAATAATAATAATAATTAATAAATTTAAAATTTAACAGTAAAATCGTAAAATTAATTTATTTATTAATTTTTTTTTGTTTTATTTTAATTAATTATAATTAATTGATTCAAGAGAAAGATAGTTAGATAGAGAGATAAAGAGTAAAGAAATAAAGAATATTCCATAATGTATTCTTTTCCTGTTATATTTTTTACTTAACTACAATAATAATAATAATAATAATAATAATAATAATAATAATAATAATAATAATAATAATAATAATAATAATAATAATAATAATAATAATAATTGCAATAATAGCAATAATAATGATAATAATAATTATTTTAAAAGTGAACAATTGATTTATTACAAAAAAAAATAAAAAAGAAATATTAGGAATTCAAAATATTTACAATAATTAATTTATTTATTTATTTTAATTATAATATTAATTAGCCATTTTTTTTTTCTGTTTTCTGTTATAATTAAAAATTTTTAATTTAAAATATAATATAACAAATTATTTTTATTTTAACCATTTAATAAGATGAAGAATTTCTTTTAATTTGTGAGGATTAGAATTTTTAAGGGTATCAACCAGTGAGTGAAAAATTAGAATTATAGAGAAAATATAAGAAAATTGGTAATTAATTGTAATGTTTTTGAGAAAATTAAGACATTAAATAATTTTTATTTAATTTTTTTTCTATTTAATTACGAAATTATAGTTTTTCATAATTCATTAAGTTTACTATATTTGTTTTATTTTTAATTGAACAGAAAAAATTAACAAAAAATTTTTTAATATTCATAAATTCTTAAATTATTATAAAATTAAATATTTCAATTGGTTTGTAATTTGAATTCTAAATATATAAATAATTAAATGAATTTGAATTTCAGTAAAATTTCAACAAAACTGAAAACACAATTTCGGAAACAGAGATTCTTTATAGCATTTTTTTAGCTAAATAAATTTTATTAAATTTAGAAATTGTAAAGGTGCTGAGAAATAATCAAATTTAAAAAATTAATAATTTCAATTTTATTAAAATAAATGTTTTTATTAATTTATTAAATTTCGTGGTTTTATACATTCACAATTTTAAATATAAAATTTTTATGTTCTTTTAAGATTGCTTTTGGAAATGCAATAAATAAAACATTGAAATTTAATTATATTTTATTGCTCTATTATGCTCAGTTTACTGTAGACTCGTCACCAACCTAGTAAACTTAATGAAGTTAGAAACTGGTTCATGGTTATCAACAATATTATGCACCAGCCCTATACTCCTTCCAGGAGTGAAATAGGAAAAAAAAAATACGATCAGTACTGATAAATTTTTGAATATTGAGTTGCCAAATAGAGTAATGCAGTGTTCACAATAATTATAAATTTTGGGAGCTTAGAATATTACTGCATTTTGGAACTCAAGGAATTATAATATTAAAGAAATTCAAATTAAAATTCAAACACTAAAAATATTGGAAGGGCTATTGTAGAATGTTCGATTTGAATATACAAAAAACGATATTGTGAACTAAAAGAGTTGAAGAAAGTAGAGTAAGCAAATTTAAGATTTGTTTAATTTTACTAAATATTAATTTAATTTTATAATATTTTTTTTTTCTCAAAAATATTTTTTTTTAAATGTACTTAAAGCTTAAACTTAAAAATAAAAATCGCGCGATTAATTATTACAAAAAATTTTTTTTCTTTTTTTTTACGAATTTTTTTTTTTTGTTTACTTAATTTATAAAATATTTTCTTAATTTAAAAAAATTTATTTAAAAAAAAAAAAAATTATGTATTTTATATCACTTCTCTTGAAAATTACATAATCGTATATACTTAATTAATAATATACAATGATTTTATTTAAAATTTTTCATATAAAACTAATATTAATTAATTTAATTTATAGTTTAATTAAATTATATTTAATTTGTTTTCTCATTTTCTCAATTTAATATTAATTTTGAATTTTTTATAGATTGCAATTATAGAGAGTCGGTCGGCCGGTCGAGAAATTATTGTGACTTTTTGAAAAAAAAAAAAAAATGTTTTTTTTTTTTTTTTTTTTTTGAATATTTTTCCATTTCTGATTTTGTATCCGGGGTTGTTTGTGTCTTGTGTGTAGTAATTTCAATAGCGTACTGGTACCCAATAACCGGTTGTCTCATCACGACGATAATAATGAGGTCGATTATCTCGGAAAACTGTTATAGCAGGAAATTGATTTTCTTGTATATATTGTAGGGCTGATCGTAGCTATTTGTTTAAGAAAAGAAAAACAAAAAATTTATATCTAAGATTAATGTTATGGTTAATTAGTTATGAAATTTATATTAATATTCAAACATTGATTGGCATACTAGGAATTTTGATTTTGCACATATACATACAAAATTTTTGTGCAAAATTTCATTTTAGTAGCTTTTAAAATGTATATATAAAGGAAAATTTAATTTATTATTATTTACCATCATTGCAAAATGTGGCGGTTCAACATCCGGACTTGTTGATAAATGTTTTAATAAAAATTCATCACTTTGCGCTAACCATAAATCAACACCACGTAATGGATCATAATTAAATGGTCCAATTCTTAACATACCTAATGTTGAATCATAAATATCCAAGACCTATATTTCATTTAAAAAAAAATTATAATATTTTTTATCAATTTTAATAAAAATTGAGTAAATTTTTTCTTACACTATGAGCACCAGTAAAATTTCTAGCTATTCTTAGCTGTTGATCAGGACCTCGATCTGGAAATGAAGCTGGAAATATTTCACCTGTTTTTATATTAACACCAACACCATATATTATTGGCCAATGTATATCTCCACGTAATATTGTATTTAATTCACCAACACATGCTTGTGTTAAATCAATTTCTAAATGATGCTTATGAAATGATTCTGAAATTTAGAAAAAAAAAAATACGAAGAATTAGAAAAAATTGGATCCATGGAGATTCTGAATTCCAAAATTCTCCATGGAGAACATGAATTTTATAAAAATTAATTAAAGATTTTTAAATAATCTTATGTCTTATTAGTTTTGTTATTTTAATATCAACAAAATAACCTTTTCTGAACTGGTCTTCAGGAAAAAAAAAATATTGAATTTCATTAAAGTTATAAGAAAATATTTTTCTTATAAAATATCCTTAAAAAAAAAAAACATTTTTCTTATATACTTACGCATTACACTATAAAATATATCCTCTGCATATCCTTGTTGATCTCTAAAACCACCAATTAATTGTAATTCAATTCTTCCTTCTGGATAGCCTAATGCTAATTCTTGTACTCTGGCAACCATTGTTGTAACAGCTTCATCAATACCATTACCATCTAAATGTGCTAATGCAACAGCACCAGAACCAGAATGTCTAACAACAACAATTAAACATGTTGTTGCATCTTCTGAACCAATTATATTAACATTTTTATCATGTGGTGCAACAGCTGCCATTTCTCTTTGTCCAACATATAATAGACCCATTGGTCCAACTGTTTTTGTTGGTATTGCTAATAATTGTGATGCATATTCTCTATATACTGGATGTTGTAAAAATAATGTTGTTGTATCCATTGGACAATCGTCCTGTAGGACACCATTTAAAACTAAAACCATTTCTGTAATAAAAAATAAATATTAGAAAATTTTCGATATTTTCATAGACAACTTCATATTTAAATTGATAAATTTAACAATTTGATATTTAATTTAATATAAAATTTGATATTGAATATTTAGTGTGATAATTCTTGAGACATGGGCTATAAAATTTTAAAATATTTCGTAAAGTAGTCGAATTTCTGATATTCAATTCCTAATGTCTGGCTGGATTGTAGCCAATAATATTATTAATTTAGTATTTAAAATAGCTAAAAATATTTTACGCAAATCATTGCAAGTTTGTTAGGCTATAGTGTCGCACATACGCGCAGAAATATACGCGTTCCTTTTATTTTTATTAAATTCCACACTCAAATTATAAAATTCAACTAACTTAATAAATTAAATAATTTCATATCTACAGAACAATTCATTTAAATTGCTTTCGACTATAAATAATTCAATTTATAAGGCAAACAAATTTTAAAAGGTTACAATTCAGATTAAAGATCTATAGGTATGATATACCTATAATACACGTTCTTCCAATCAAGAATTACATTTAATAATAAATAGTTCCTCTCATAAATTTTATTTTTACACTCAAAAGAAAACTTATAGAAGAAAACTCATTGAATTGAACTATGAAATAATAATAAAAAAAAAAAAAACAGAATTTTACTACTGTCATACACTTCTATTATAGTTAGCATGCTACTATTATTGTCTCCCCCCTTTTATAAATATTTAATAATATATTATGATAACAGTTCAATAGTTCTCTTTTAAAATCAATAATGTACCAAAGAGAATTGAATATGTTTACTAACTTAATTGAATATCCCATAATGCAGTACGAGATTGTATCAATAATGTGTTTATGTGTTGTAAATGCAACAATCGAGTTTAAAATTTATGACATTTTGTATTACAATACTCCTTTACAGAAGTTAAATCAAACAAACTGTCATTTTGTTCGAAAACATAAAATATATACATACATATAAAATAAGGAAAAAAAAAATAAATAACGTAAAAATTTTTTAACCATCGTAAAGATTTCCCTGCTCTTTATTTCTTCAATATTTTTTACTTTTGAATATGAAATCTATGGTGGGTAACGTACAAGCGTATATAAGCATAAAATCTGATATAAGAAAGGAGTAGAAAGAAATATGGGAATAAAGTGTATATTAAGACACTTTCACAAAAAAGGACAAATTAAATTCCAATAGCACAAATCATATTTCTTTAGTCATTATTTGTTTTTGGTCTCCGTTTTGTAAGGAAAAATTTTGAGGAAGAAAAAATATGTACACTGATTTTTGGCAAATAATTGTGTAATTTTTTAAATAATGTGAGTTGGATGTAAAATACACTCCATCGGTAGACTGTTCTTAACATTGAATGTCCATTCATATTCCATTCAGATAGGAATGCAAAACAAAGAAAGAAAAGAGGTGCCTAAGTTTTAAAATGCCGGAAATTATTGTTACAGAATAGCTAATTAAATAATTTGTTTCACTTTTCTATCTCAGGGAATCTAGACTAGATTAAGCTACCTAGCATAATCATCTTACGATATTCTTTAATAAAGACTTAGGATTAAATATTTGATAAACTTCAAAAACTTTTAGAATTAATGACAAATTTTGAAGAGTATAAGCTATAAACATTTTGATTCAGACAATAAAATCGATAATGTAATCGAACGGTATATAATAATGATCTTACGATAATAAATTACGGTATATAATTATGATAAGCGCTGCTATATAATTATATACTATTGTTTAGGCCTTCATGAGTAAACAAGACTTTTGTATGGAGACGATGTTCACAGCTCAAAATGTTCGAAGTTACAGGGGCTTAAAGTTAATTTCGACTGATTTTTTTTTACTTTTTGAAATTTTAAGTATAACTCTGCGACTGTAGTCTAAGACATGCGCGTTAATAAATATGATTTTGAAATCTCAGAGTAAGGGCTTCTTTAGGAATATTTACATTAGTTATAATCTGTTCAAATTTGGGAATCACATTACTTTTAAAGTTCGAAAAATTTGATAATTTTAACTTTTCATTTTTAGAAAACATTAATTTTCTCGGTGGCGTAACATTGAAGCTTTCTCTAATTTTAGAACAGATGGCAACCTTGTCAACTGAACTTCTATTTGGTATATGAGTCAACACGCTACCTGATCTGGGAAAATAGAGAAAAATAGAGTATTGCAAATCTTTTTTTATACGAACTTTTTTTCTTCAATGACTTAGAAAAATGTACAACAATCGTTCAAAATGGTGACTTTGTTCTGTTTTGCAAATGTTCAACTTAACAATCGAGTTTCTTTCACTTTTGCCAATACTAATGACTTGGAGAATACGTATCATATTTTCTCTTTTTTTTCTTTCTTCACTACTGCACAAGGCTAGTGCAAGATATCATGCCGAAGTTTCATAGCGTCATGGAGTAAAATAGGTATGTGACTAGCCTGCCGTAAGGAGAATATCATATGGCGCCTCTCATTGATACAGTTCTGTAAGTCAGTTTTGATATGATAATGTGATGTAATATATAGGGAGAACCGATTAAAATATTTACTTGTTTTTTTAAATTTTTAAGTCTTATACATGCCAGTAAATATTTAATTTGTTATTTTTTCTTTATTAAATGAAATATAAAACTCTTTAAATTAAAATTTTAAAATAATTATTTACATTTCTTACATATTTCAATTTTTTTTTTTCAAAATTAAAAAATTTCATGAATTTCTTCGCATAATTTAATTGATGATTCTAAAGATTATTGGTCTGCAAATGCAATGCATACGCACCTATGCATATGTGCTCATGTATAGGGTTAATGAAAATAATGCATTTCTGTCTGTCCACTCTTTATTTTTTAGATTTTCTTAAAATTGAAATGTTTTTGTACAAGTTATACGGTCACATAAGTTTGTGTGTGAGCGAGAACTACTAATTGCTTTTCTTACAAATTATCTTATACGTACTATATGTAAGTAAGTAATTTGAAAAAAAAAAAAAAATTTTTTGGAATTTGGATAAAAATTCGAATTCATTGGAAATGATCAAGAGAATATTTCTTATTCATATTCCAAACATTGCAACTTACTCACATACTTATTATGAAATTTTTTTATTGATATGCAGCATATGAGGACATGTGAGTTTTTTTTTTTTTTTTTTGAAAAAACAAAAATTTCACTATATAGATTTTTGTTAAAAACTTCCCTGCTGGGCCGCCGTATTTCAATTTCTTTTACGCATTTCTTCTTATATTTTTTGTCGTCCTCTCATATTTTGGTTGGTTTTTTTTTTTTTGCTCATTCAATGAATCATTTTCAATTGACTGTCAAATTCACGCCAGAGTACAAATCATTTTTTATCGAAGTTGGGTTAAGAAACAACAAAAAAGAAGAAGAAAACCAAAATGTACACACTTTTTTTTTTTTTATTAATTTTTTTTTTTTTTATATATTTTAAAGAAATAATTAAATTTACCATACATAATTGAATGGGCGATGCGGTTAAATGATCTGGCTGAATTTATTTTGGACATTACTGTTGGTAGGCACATAAAATATTGATTATGTATGAAGGTGTACATGAAGGAATGGTTGGGTGTAGTAGAGTATGCTCTCTCATATAAAAGTGTAGATAATATTATTAATAAAGAGGTGTTTATGTACGTACGTTCATACAAAAATTATATATAGGTGTACATTTTCACTTGGGCTGGTTGGATTGTTGGCTGGTTGCTTTGGTTTACAGTCAGTCAATTGATAAATTTGTTAGTTTGGTGGTTGAAAGAAGGAATTTGGAAGGTGGAATTTAAAAAATTTTTTTTTTATTTTTATTATTTGCTCTTAGGTTCTTTATTTTTGTGTTCTTTCTAGTTGTTCTTTTTATAAGATGTAAGATTTTATCAAATGGTATACAAGTCTGATAATATTATATTCGAAGGTTGTGTTGTACATTTTTTTTTTTCATTTTTTGAATAATTGAATATTTATTTTAATTTTTTTTTTATTTTTAAATTTCATTTAAAATTTATGAATATTTTTTCGTTCTTTTCTTTTCATTTCTCTTAAAATTTTATTTGAAAAGAGAAAGATATACAATTAATCATAAATGAGAAAATAAAAATTATCTGTTGTACTCAATCATTATTTTCTTTTATTAAAATCTAGATAATTTTTTTTTGTTGTTTAAATCAACAAAATTTTTGGTTTTCTTGTTTTATTAAAAAAATGACAAATTATTTTAGATTGTAATTTTATTAAGGGACTCATTATTGTAAGGACAGTTGTGGTTAACAATGATTTTTTATTGGAATTTTTGTATACCATTCGACTCCCTTGCTGATTAAGCACTACAGCTTTCTATACAGTTATTATGCAGCTCTGTATACAGTTATTAATTTTTGTCATATTTCGTGTAGTTTATTTACTTTATGTGTATTACTCGTATATGTTAAATTTATATGAATTATAGTATAACTAAATTATAATCACTGATTCGAGAGCTACTTCTAATAAAAGCATCCATTATGTAGCAAGTAAGGGAATGCATACTACTTCTGGGCAACAAATGAGATTTTCTTCTTTTTCTCTCTTAGACAGAGTAAGTTTAATCTCCATTACAGTTCAATACTATTATAATTATCAAGTAGGGGGGGAGACTGTTCTGAAGCGGTCCACGATATACAGTGTTTTTTTTTGTTTCATTCTTTCATTTTAATATGATTTTTCCCTGCAATCTTTAAAAATTTTTCTTTTTTCTTGTAATTTTTATTTTAAAAACGTAATTATGATTTTCTTTTTGGACAAGTGACTTTTCGAAAATTTTCATGATTGTGTTTTTTTAAAAAAGAAAAAAAAAAAACTAATGCTCGCTCTTACGGTTTGAAGGCTCTCTAGCGTGGAGGTACTAAATTTTCCTTTTCATATTTTCAAAGGGTTCTTTTACAGTACCTTATTAGAGTTAGTGTTATTTTTTAATTTCTAATTTGATAACTTTCTGGTTTCCAAGACAAGAGTGTTCGTTTTGCTAAAAATAGCTTAGATATGTATCTTTCAGACGCAAAAAACCGCACCTGAAAATATTTGAAAAATAAAAAATTATATGACAAAGAAAAAAAAAAAGTGCCACTGACGAACAGTCTCCCCTATACTTGCATTTAGTACATATTATGAAGATATGTGGCAGTGATAGGTCACTGGGCGAACATTTTGCATTTCATTTTATTGAAAGTCCTAAAGAATATAAGAATTTCTAAAAGGCCTTTGAATGCCAATCATCTTTAAATAAAATCACATGTATGCATTTTCGAAATATTTGATTGTCATGCCGGAACTAATTTAATTTATTAAAAATCTGATAATTCAATTTAGTTATATTAGGATTACATTAAAAATGGTAAATTACGAATTTCTACACAAAAACAAAAAAAAATTTTTGAATCGTCTGCACTCTTAATCTTATATAAGCTTTTAAATTTATTGAATTTTTTGGACAGTGTTGTTGAAATTTGTTATATTATTGATTTGGTATTGGCCTATTATTTTGCATTTAAGAAATCAATTTTAAAAAAAATTTAAAACATTTCGCCCTCAATATTCTACATTAGTTATGAGTTTCTTTAGAAAAAATTCACTCATACGCATACACGTATTTAAACAGCAGATTGAAATGCGTGTCCTTCTTTTGATTTCCAAAAAAAAACAAAATATTCACCATATAAATTTACATTTAATTAATCAAAACTGTTCCATTATTAAAAATATTTCAAGCCGGAATTGAAGAATTCAATAAAAAAAATTCTTCGCATCAAAATTTCATGTCAAATATGTTGGTGTTCTGAAGCATGTTCTCTATATAATATATTGATGAAATAAATGAAATTTCATAATAACAAATTCCAATTTTTTGATTGATCTTAACTCTTACATGCAATATACATACATACATACATACATTCAAAAAAGAAAGGCTCAACCAACATTTTAATTAAAATTTAATCAGCAAAGTTATTTTTCAATTATTTCGCGCAAGAACAACCCAAAAAAAACCAAAAACAAAATTAAAAAAAATAATTAAGGATCAAAATGGGACAGGTGCTTTATCATTTCAAATGCCGGAATAATTTTTTTATTTTTGAGCTGTTGCACTCAAAGGAGGCGCAAATATGAATCATATAAAAATTTTCTCAAACTTTTTCCTTATTCTTAATAATAATTTTCTATTTTATCCCAATGTAAAATGAATTCATTTTTGTGTGCCGGTTTTTTTCTTTATTTTATTTTTAATACATTAAAAATTAATTTGAAATGAATTACAATATATGTACGAGTATGTGTAGTAATAATATGTTTAGAAATATACTTAAAATATAAGTATGTAGCACGATCCATGATGAAAAGAATGCAATACAATGCGAGTCTCTTTAGATTACTTTTTTTTTTTTTTTAAATTCTTTGTTGCAAATTGCAACAAACCGCGCGCGCATGTCCAAGAAAAAATCTATTCATAATTTTTCCGATTCCTTATTATTTTCGGTTTTATTCGCAAACTACAAACACAAGCAAAAAAATATTATAAAAAATCGCAAAAATGAGATTTTTATCAAAACCGATATTAGCGTTCATATTCAATCAAATATAGCAGCTTTATAATATTAAGAAAAGAAAAAGGTTTTTTTTTTGTAGTCGAAAGCACGTCTCATCTTTAATACTTTATTAATGATCAATTTAATAATTTTCAAAATATCTAAAGGCAAAAATCAGCCAAAAGAATTAATAGTAATGGGCAACAAATGTAAGAATATAAAAGGAACATTCCATCATCAATAACTATAATCATCATTATCATCATCATCATCAATATTGACTGTTCATCATTCAATCATACAATTTAAAAAGAATGTATCGGATATATTGGAGATTTCAATTCGCCTTTCAAATTTTGTATGAAATCAATGGGTTTGCGCTGTTGTTGTTCTTCTTCTTATTTTTTATTGTTGTATCATATGTTATTCTTCATTATACTTACATATATTTATTTACAAATTCCTTTAAATATAATAATATCAGTTAAATTATTAGTAAGTATAATTTTGAATATATATGTATGATGTAAGGTAGACTATAGATTATGTTTCATATATGTATGTATATACAAATAAATGGAAAAGGCATATAAAGAGCATTAAAAATTGTTGATGATAGCTTTTGTAATGTATTACACAAATATAACATTCATCAAAAAATCGTCATTCAAAATTTTTGATATTAAACTTTAGTAAGGGTTCCCAATTTTAAGTTATAAAAAAAAAAATATTTTTGAGAAAATTGTAATTAATTTAAAATTCCGAAATTCTTTCAAACTTGTATGATCCAACAAAATGTTTGACATAAATATTATTATTTACTATGTCATAATCAGCTCTACATAAATGTTCGAATACATACAAACATGTGAAATATAAGAAATTCATACTATTCCTAAGCTTACGCTTGTTCTTCTTCTTATCATAAAGTGGGGAGGTTCCTAGAGGCGCATGGTTTTTGCTAGTGGAGGAATCAACAAGACATTTGGGCTGAGACTGTCTAAATATAACAATTCTAGGAAGTATTGGAAACGAAAGCGTGTGGCCTACTCAATAGTTCGAGACCGAGGCAATTTTCTACAATTTTTTGCGAATTTAGTTGAAGTATTAAAAATTGGATGGAGTTGGAAGCAATGGCTGTACAGACTTCTTGATGGATTTCAGAGTGTTCGAGAGGATAATAAGCGGCCACTGTCAGTATGTAAGAACATGAAAAGTAAATCTTATTTAGAAATTTTTACAATATTTCGCATTAGTTTTAAAGCTGAGGAGGTGTGAGTGTGCTCGGTCTAAACTAGAAAGTGATTAGCGATTTTGTACTCTTGGTTTTTGATCCGAATGATTGTTGTCTTTTATTAAAAATAAATTGGCTGCCCCAAGTGAATTTAAATTTTTCTGCTTATTGTGATATACTTTTTAAATTGAGGATAGATGGTAATCTTTTGTTAATCAACATATCATATTTAAAATTATGTATGTATAAATAAAATATAATCATCAAGAGTTATGGTATATATGATTTTTCTTTTTTGTTTTGTGAAGAAAATTTACTTTTGTAAAAAAATTTTATAATAGACGAAAAAAACAAAAGTATATGTAGAAAAATTTAAATTTACGTTCAATGATTGGCTCAATTGTTATAGACTTTTTAATGTTATCGTTTTGTTGTTCTCATTTTATGTTTTTGCTTTTAATTTTCTCCTATAGGTTGTGAGGTTTGATCCATTGTATTGATCAATTTCATTTCATGGAACCCAACCAAATAATCAACTACTCTTCGAAAGAGTGAATATTATTTTTTGGTTTTTTTTTTTTTTTTACCTACATACGAGTATATATGAAAATGATCGTATACGATAGATAATTGCGCATTCAATATGTTATTTTGTTACAAAAAGCATTTTATGCATAACAATTTTTATTTTTTTTTTACTTATTTGAAATCCTATACATACGTTACTTTGTATATTGTAGGAGCGAATTAAAAATAAAATTTAAATTGAGATTTTTCGTAAAGAAGAGAAGAAATAAGTAATAATGATGGATAGAAATGAAGAAATGATTGATTAGGTATGGTGTTACAGTTCTATGATATTTCGATTTATAATCTTTCAGTGGCAAAATATTCTACGGTATCCTACATACATATGTACGTATACATATATGTGTTATGTATAAATTTCAAATAAAAAATTTTGAATATGTACAATAGGTCCTCATTTATGTGTAGTTAATGTAATTATGTACGTGTATGTTATATGTAATTTAAAATTTAAAGATAGATCTAAATATTCTATATGGGTTAAGTTAAAAAAATTTTTAAGAAAAAGAATTATTTTACTGTAAGTCAAAAATATTAATTTAAGGTTTGTGTTTCGGATTAAATATTTTTCCTTTAATATAAAAAATCAATTGTCCGAAGATTAGTTTCTTGTGTATAATTTTATGTTACCTCACAGTTATATACGAGTAGTACCTATAGTAAAATAAAGATGCGAATTTTTCAATACCATAAGTGAAACATATTTTTTTTTTTGAATACGTTACATTTTCACGTTATAATTGAACAAAATGTGAAGCGGCCCTTTGTAAAGAATTTAAATACGTTAATGTAGTCTGATGATTTTCTTATAGTAATTAAAATCGTAATAACATTCCTATAGTAATGTAGGTGTTTATTGATTGAATACCTGCCCCGTTAAAAATTTTTTTTATTAGATGGATCTTATTTCTATACTTATGCGTAGCTCTGAAGAAATTTTCTTTTAGCATTTTTTTTTTGAAATTGATGTACGATGCATCACTTTTCTTTACGATATATTTACGATATTACGATTTAATTATAATGCAAACTACAAAACAGAAACAAATTAAGACCCGTTAGAGGAATCATAAAAAGTAAAAATGGTTTATGCACCTACTACGGTAAAAATACTGTTATTTTATTTTATAGGAAAGATTTTATTTTCATTGTCATTTAATTGACTTTGAATTAGGATACATGAATTAGGAAGTTTGATATTTTAGTGATGGGTAAAATATAACCCACGTTAACGTAAATACCCATGCAGCACATTCCATTGAATCGATTGGAGTAGTTTATTTCATAAAGAAGACTATCGGTTTTAATTACTATGGGAAATTTCAAAAAGTTTAATTAAAAATTTATTACTTTCGAAATTGTTTTATCAAATGATATAGTTAATTGGAACGAGATTAATGATAATGATCACCTACAAAATTTCACGGCTAAAAATACCGTCTAATTTAACGATTTATATATAGTTTTTTTTTTTGTAATTAATCGAATAACAAGTTCTAATTAATTAATTAATTTATACAAATATGAATATTTACTTATTTCAACAGAATGTTTGTTAATTAAAATCATTAAAATTATATAACTATTGTTTTAATTAAATTTCCCGATACTAAAACGATATATAACTACCTTTTCATCATCCGCGTTTGTTTCAATATGCAAATCAAACGAAAAAAAAAAAAAATTAATATTCTAAAATGAAATTACACTTTATACATGAATGCTCAATTTTAAATTGGAAATAAATAATTATTTAAATAAATCTGTAAATTATTATAATTTAATTTTTAATTGAAATATTCATGCATAATAAATAATAGTTTCTCAATGAACAAAACCTATTATTAAGAAACTAAATATAATTTTAAAAAATATAGAAAAAATTCTTATTGATTTCTCATAAATTTCAACAAGTTCAACGTATGTATATATAGAAATGTTCTTTAATTAAATTAAATTAAATTCAATTAAGTTGTTGTTTATTTCAAATTATAATAGAAAAAAAAAAATTAAAATAAAAAAAAAGTAGACCGCCGTCATTTAATTCTAGATCATGTTCATATTGAACAATATAATAATTGAATGATTGTACGTACATACAATTATATATAGTTGATTTGGAACTAATATTAATTGTTGGACTGAATGATTTTAAGCACATTTTCAAAAATTTTTTGATTATTTTCTGTCTGTTCATTATCGCTCATTTTGGAAGTTGATTTATCCGCTACATTTTTAATCAATCAATGTTAAACATTCGTCAATAGAAGAGTATATGTATTCTAATGCCTTAAATTGAAAACAGAAGAAGAGCGATTTTCTGGGGCGAAATGTCAGAATTCATATAGAAATTTAAATGGAATTGCCTAAAATTAAGCGAAGTTGTCGTTGCGAAATTGACCGCTGGCATTTTTTTTTGACTGACTTTAATTTATCTATGGAAACAGATGTGGGTGACATTATTATGCAAAATACTGTACAATTGATTTTGCCGTTTCGCTGTTGTTATGGTTTAATAATGGAAATCGCCCGCCGTTGCCGTTCACCGCTTTAGGTATATTTTTACAATTAATGTGTTTGTCATCCTAATTCATTCTAATTCTATCTTTATATCTCTGCAGTTCAGTTGGTAGAGCATCCGAATAGAAAGCAGAAAGTTACTGGTTCAAATGCAATCCAAGGAAAAAAAAATTTTTAATTTTTCTATCTTGACTCGTTACTTTGGCTCTGTCTTCCATCTGTTCTGCAGTCTGAGGAAATTTTCATAATTATTACTTTAAGCTATTAAAAAAAAGAAACAAACAATTGCAAATTTTCATTGTTTATTATTATTTGTATTTACGTGCTTAGGATTTGTATTTAAGTCTAATTTAATCTAAAATAAACCTTTTTCGAAAATTAATTAAATTATACAAGTTTCAGGCCTTTTATTGTAAAAGGGAAATGTGCTACTTTATAAAGTCTACATTTGATCTACAACATTTTTATTATAACGTAATTCATTAATTTGTGATGATAATCATCACTATGCTATGATCTATCCGAAAAATTAAAAAAAAAATTTATTAGAATTAAGGCAAATAGCCCGAAGAGTTTTTGAAGGAAATCACATATTATGGGTTTCACATATGAAGTCACATTTCTTTTTCCAATTGTGTGTGTGTTTTTTTTTTCTTTTAATTAAGAAGACAGTGTATAAAATTTCATTATTAAATAAATTATTTCGATTTGTGTTATAATGTATGAATGTGTGTATGGATGTAATTTTTTTATTGAATGAAAAATATTCAAAGTTTAATTATAATTGAAATGTGAAATAATCATAAATTATTATTGATAATTTTTTTCTTTTTTTCGATTTTATACTATAGAAGATTAATTAAGTGAGAAAAGGTAAATAATTTATTTTGTGAATGACAATGGCAACACAGTTATTTAGTTTTTTTTTTTAAATTCTTT